TTTATTATTGGGGCCGGCAGGTGGCGTGGTGGTTAAGGGTGCTGAACTTCCACATTGTAGGCCGTAGTTTGAGTCCCAGACCTGGAGGCTTGTTTTCTCGCTTTTCTTCTTCTTTCTCGCTTCTCCTGCTTCCCCCCTCCCTCCCCTTCCCTCGCCTTCCTGATCTTGTCAAATTAAATAAATAAATAAAGTTAAACAAAATAATTCTTTAAAAATTATTTATTATCATTATTTTTCAATTTGACCAGAGAGAGACAGAGAGAGAGAAAGTGAGAAAGCAAACTGCCAAGTCTGGGACTTGAACTGGGGTGGGGTCGGCCACATGGGAGTCCAGCGCCTTTAACCACCACCACCTGCTGGCCCCTAAGAAATTAATTTCAACTAAGCAAACTTATCCATGGGGTTGGCGAAAGACATGCTCTGCTGGGCGCTCCTCCACCAGCAGGTCCTCCCTGGGATCGCTTCGTAACATTACTCAGAGTCATGTATCATACTGCCTAGATGCATGAGTCTGTAAGGATGATGTTTAATCACGCCTTTTTTTTTTTCTTAAGAAATTTTTGCTATAGGGCACGTGCGCTTGCCAGAAAGACAGAGAAGAAAATGAGAAATCACCCCCCCAGGGGGATGGCCACGCCGCAATCCCTTCTCCTCCATTCTCCTCTCGGGATCTTGGGCACACACATGTGCCCAGCGTGAGTTTAAGGCACTGGGTCCGGGACTGGGACTGTGGTCTACTTACATGGGAGTCCAGCGACATAGCCATTACGCCTTCTGCTGGTCCCAATCATGTCTTTTCTTTTAAGAGAGATTTTTGCTATAAGGCATGTGAGCTCACCAGAGATACAGAGAGAGACAGAGACAGAGAGATAGAAAGTGAGCAATCACCCTCAAAAGGGATGACCATGCCACAATCCCTTCTTCTCCATTCTTCTCTTGGGATTTTGGGCACACGTGCACATGCATCTGGTGTGAGTTTCTTTTGTTTTTGTTTTTTACCGAGAGGTTTTTTTTTTTTTTTTTTTTGCCATAGGGCGTGTGTGCTTGCCAGAAAGACAGAGACAGGCTCTCCATTGTGCTATGGAGTGCCGCTCACTCTCGCGCCACACTGCATGGCACTGCAGGCGAGCACACAGCAGAACTGCGGGCCACGACGGCAGACGCTCACACAGCTGGGCTCCCACCGCGGCTCACGTCCTGGACCCAGTGGCTTAAACTCATGCCGGGCGCGTGTGCGTGCGTGCCCAGGGTCCCGAGAGGAGAGTGGAGGAGAAGGGATTGCGGAGTGACCATCCCCCCGGGGGTGATTTCTCGCTTTCCCTCTTTGTATGGCTCTCTCTTCAGTGAGGGCATGTCCCCTAAGGCAAAAGCCTCTTCAAAAAATAAGAAAGAACCACTAACTATTGCTGGTGATCAGGATAGGACATTGGCTGGCATGGGAGCCTAGTGGTTCAGGAGGCCAAATCCCACAGGGATGATTGTGGTTCGTAATGCTGGCCCTGGTAGCTCAGAAAACACACCAGTGTGCCCAGAATCCTGACGGAGAAATGGCGAAGGGCTTGCAGCATGTCCACGCCCCACTGCAGAGCGCACGCCCTCTCTCAAGCACACAGCTCTCCGGGCATTTAAAGACAATGAGAACAAGGATGAAGCCCGTAAGACAAAGAATGCAGGGAGACTGGAAACCAGGCGCACCCGGGCAGCACGAGCACCCGCAGAGGGCAGGCCTGGGGCCACTGAGGCTGAGGCGTCCCGGCGTTGGGGACTGTGCTTCTGTGCTGCCTCTTGGTATGATGTACATGCTTCTGCAGGCCACTAGGTGCCAATACCCCATGTGACAGGGCTGCGACCCTCCCAGCAAAGGTGCTGTTTGGTGCCACTCCAGCGCTCCTGCTGGAAAGCTTCACCTCAGGACGCTCTGTCCCAGGGGAGAGCTTTGTCACAGGTGTCTCCTGAAAGCACTTTACTACAAAACCTCGGGGGTTGCCAGGGAAACTTACGGATGCTGGGTGCTGCTAGCACCATGGTGACCCGTAGGAGCTGGACCTAGCACTCGGGTCTGAACCTCAAGCAGGAGAAAAGCTCTTCCTCTGCAGCACTCCCCCCAGCTCCCTCTCCAGACCGGTGTGGCTCAGATTCATTCTTAAAGAACAGGCAGTGGGAGCCAGCAGGTGGTGTGGTGATTAGGGTGCTGCACTCCCATATGGCCGACTGTGGTTTGAGTCCTGGACCTAGTGGCTTGCTTTCTCCCTTTCCCTCTCTCTCTGGCCAAATTAAAAAAGAAGGAATAAGGGACCAGCAGTTAGCGTAATGGCTATGTCCCTGGACTCCCACATACGTCGACCACGGTTCGAGTCCCAGATCCGGTGGCTTAAACTCACGCCGGGCGCGTGTGCGTGCATGCCCAGGATCCCAAGAGGAGAATGGAGGAGAAGGGATTGCGGCGTGGCCATCCCCCCCGGGGTGTGATTTCTCACTTTCTGTCTCCCTGTCTGTCTCTGTCTTTCAGGTGAACGCATACGCCCTATAGCAAAAAAAACCTCTCCCCCTGAAAAAAAGAATTATCTACTCAATTTTATTCTTTTTTTTGGAGAGGTTTTTGCTATAGGGCGCGTGCGCTTGCCAGACAGAGACAGAGAGACAGCAAGCAAGAAATCACCCCCTAGAGGGGATGGTCACGCCGCAATCCCTTCTCCTCCATTCTCC